AGTTTTAAATGAACCACTTATGATTGTTTGAAAAAACCTTAAGAGTTTTTCTTAAAAATAATGAAAATTGGCCTATTTTTTCTTTTCCTTAAAAATAAGGATATCTGGGTAACTGAAGTAAGCAAATCAACGGAAAATAGCTTCCGAGCTAACGAAATGAAGCTGGGGATGTGTGTCCGAGATGCATTTATACGGGCCAGAAGTGGTTATGGCTGGGCTCTCCTCATTTCTGGGGGCAAAGCAAACAAACATCTTCCTCTTTTTCGACGTCGAACAAACAATCACCCTCATCTTTTTTAAGGGTCAAACAAACAACTGCCCTAATGATTTCTGAGGGCCACACAAGCAGTCATCCTTTTCCTCTTTTTTTGAGGACCAGATAAACTGTCACCCTCTTTCTTCCCTTTTTTGAGGACCAAATAGAGCTCCACTCTATTTCTCTTTTTTTTAGGATCACACACAGTACAGTTCAGCAAAGCATTTCATATATGAGTGACAGAAATAAAGCAATCCAACTGGCTGATACAGATTAATGGCATTTTCTTTTTTTGCTTCTGCAGTTTTTTTCATTTATTTGGTTGGTGGTGTTCGATGATAACCAAAGTTTAGACGGAGCTGTTCCAGGAAAATAAACGTGAGAATCGTCTGCGGTGCCAATCGCACCCATGCTGGTATGAAACCCTGCAAGCCAAAAATAAAGATGCAAAACAGAGGGAAACTAATCCAAAAATTATGAGGGGACAGTAGCTCCGATTACAAAGATGATAGGATTGGAGGGGAACGCCACGCTAAGGTTTTTTGAAAATTTGACAATAAAAAGGAGTTTTTGACAAAGAAATTTGATAAAAAGGAATTTTTGAAAACTTAACAAAAAGTTTTTTGAAAATTTGTCAAAAAGGAAGATTTCATCAAAAATTTTACAAAGTTCCAGAATTCAAAATTCTAAAATTTACGAAAAAATTGTTTTAAAGGCGAAGAACTGAAAATATTAGAGGAATAACTTGATTCCCAGAAAATGTGCGTTCTTGATTAAAACATTAAGATATCAATAAAACGTTAAGATACCTTGAAAAAGCCAAGTGGACCTGTTTTCGCTGTATACACAAAACAAGACATGATACCCTGGAATAGAAAATCCAAATTATTCCCTAAATAACCGTCTTGAGTAATCATCCCAAGTAATTATTTTTTGATCATTTTAAAGGATCTGGAGGTTCCTTGAAAGTAATCGTGATTATATTGCGACTGCTCTAGGGAAAAAATCATGATTATTTCCAAAAATGTACCGATTACTTCAGAGCACGGAACAAATATCAAGATCACCAACGCGGACTGGCCATCAGACGATGCAGCATTGATCAAAGCAAATGGAACAGTTGCCAGCTGTATGGGTGGCGAAATATTGCTATGAAATTAGCAGCTGTTCCAAGCATCAAGCTGTAGGGTGAATAAAACAAAGAAATTCCACCCCGCCCACCTAGCTCTCCTTCGATTATTTACTTCCCTGTACAAGTTTTTGGAGACATTCGAAAGTGACCCAGTTGAAACCCGGTGCTCCTAAGGACCGGAACTATTAATTGGCCCGAGTTCGAGAGCAGTATGCTATCTCTCACCTCAGGTAAACTCGTCAGAACTTTAATTAGCCGCAAAAATCAGAGTTTGGATTCTCAGTAATCAACTAATCAAAAGTTACCAATGGTCGGAAAAAAAAGAAAGGATTATTATTATCTGAAAAAAGACACAGTTATCAGTGTCGGGAAATGGAAATTTCTCGAAGTCGAAATAACAGCAAGTTGCGATATCAAGCTCTGGATTTCATTTCGTTTATTTTGTTTGAGCAGTGGCTATCCCGAAGTGAAATTTGAAGTCCCAACTGAACAATCAGAAATCCACAAAAATACGAATTGGACTGGAAATGAAATTGGGGCTGGAACTGGAAATGGATTCAGAAACTGGAATTTGAGCTGGAATTACACAGTACAACACTCACGTTGAACTGGCCCGGTTTCGCATTCATCATTCGTGTTTTCATTACATCCAACGGTTGTGTCATTACTGTTGCTATTGAAGCCTGGAAAATACACATTTATTCCAGAATTCATCCAAAATTTTCGGGAAAAAATTAGTACAACACCGAGTTGCAGCTCAAAAAAAATGCCCTACGGCCGGGATTAACGCCAAATCACAAAAAATTTGCATACATCAGTTTCTGTTAGATATTGTGCAAGCAAATGACTAAGCCACGTGAGATCGTATACGCAAAATTTGGCCAAAAAGAAGTAAAATTTAAGTAAAAAAACACAAAAAAAGAGAATGCTAATTGAAGTTGCATAATTTAGCAGAAACGAAATATTAAAAAAAAATTTTAAAAAAATGGAAAAATACCGCGGCGAATGAGGAGGTGAAATGTGTAGTGGGAGTATCTTTGAAATATCCAGTGGCGATTGCTATTTGCTTGATCTGATCATAGAACGACAACTGTCCAATGGTCATAAAAATTGCC